ACGCTCGAGTTTCGCGTAGTGTAACGGTTATCGATTCACAAGGCGAAACCAGCGAGCCGAGTTCAAATTTCGAGGGAGTTCGCTGCATTCACTTACGCAGAAATAGCCTCAAGAAAATATGAATTCATTTCATCTCAGCTTAATCATTGGGAAAATAGTCAGGCAGGCTCGACCTTTTAGTTGTGGTTGGCAATCAGTCTAGGGAAAGACAACTCTAGACGCAAAACTGGTATATAGAATTCGTGATGCGCGTATTACACAGCCATTGAAATATTGAGTTGATAATGAAGTCCTACGCGCAATTGTTTGATTTGTGATCTAAACTTACGTTAGGGTTTTAAAAAAGCCTCACAAATTCATATTTAATTAGAATTTATTCATTTGAATGCTTATCGAGTATTACAGTAAAGTTTACTGGAAGGCTAATATATCTCTCCTTTCAAATCTGATAGACGTCGAGTAACGTCTACTGATACCAATAATATCGTCCTTCATTAACTGCCCTCTGGGTTTTTAAAAAGTCTCTACGTTATTATATACACTATTTACATTCGGACTATTGTCTTCATCTTTGTTGTTGTTATCACATTAAGATAAGGATTGTACGCATAATTACTATATCATAAATTCACGAACCATCACTTTGATCAACTAGATTGAAGAAGTTTCTTATATCCGGGTTTCTCTTATATCCGGGTTTGGTCTAATTTATATACATTAACAAAGGCTCTAATTTGGGACCAGAGAAAATCTCTCTTATATCCGGGTTTCTCTTATATCCGGGTTTCTCTTATACTCGGGTCACACTGTATAAGCCAAAAAAAATTAAACAAGTTATATTTAAATTTCCCTTCCTGGGTATAACGATAAACTAAATCCGGCATCAAGGCCTGTGATCAGGAGGATTTGAAGATCGTGGAACCACCATTTAACTTCTGTTAAGGTCCCAGCTAGAGGCAAATAGATAACCACAAAATTTTGATCAAAACGCTATGAAAGTACAAAAACCGTTATAGTAAAAATACCAACAATACATCTCCATAGTATTAGGTTGGTGCAAAAATAATGTCGTTTTTTGACGTTCAACTTAACGTCAAAAACGACATTATTTTTGCATCAACCTAATAAATGAAATTGCCAGCAATATTTTTTTTTAAAAGAAAAAAATAACCAGCAATACATTTCTGTAAAAGAAATTACTAATACTCCCAATGCAATTAAATTTCGGCATTAAATGACCCATAAGGAGTTGATATGCCGTTAAACAAACATACTCATTTAAATTTCCATAAGAATAAAGGAAAATGGCTAGAAATATGTGAAAAGTAGACATGAAAATCTTTAAATCTTTAAAATTCTTTATCATAACGAGGCGTCAATCTAAAATTAAATTCAAAAGCCCCATTCCGTGACAGTCAGTCTAGGACTGAGGATGACATACCAGTGCTAGTCTGAAATAGACTATACCCACATGAGGTAATTTTGTATTTTTTTGCTGTCTAAAATATAATATACATATATACAGGTAATAACCCATAGGTATATAATCCAAGTGAATCCTAATAATATAAAATATTAAAACTCATTCACAAAGAAGAGCTCAATGTTTTTATTATAACAGATCATATATAAATACATAGAATAGAATTTCAAATACGGTCATTTTGAATTTATATTCTGTAATATATATATATATATATATATATATATATATATATATATATATATATAATATATATAATATATATACATATATATGTAATATATATAATATAATATATATATCTACATATTTCATATATATATATATATATACATATTTTCTACACACACACACACATATATATATATATATATATATATATATATATATATATATATATATATATATATATATATATATATATCGATTTTCCAAGCCTATGTCAGATGTGGCACAAGGCCATATATATATATATATATATATATATATATATATATATATATATATATATACAGTTATGCAAAATTTTAATTTACTGTATTTACAACTCATGAGTAAACACAATTTTCGTATAATTACCTGTACACTGCAGTATAATAGCTAAATATGCATAGAAAAATGAAACATTTTGATTTAATAAAAATAAATCCCATTTATAATGTGTGAAAAAAGTATTCATACAATTTAAAAAAAGAATACATAATTTACTTTAATACTTTGTAGAATAGCCATAACTCACTTTTACTGCAACCAACATCTTGAATTTTCAAATAATGCCACAGATTCTTGATTGGGTTTAAATCTGCGGACTTCCTTGTCCATTCCATGATATTTACATTATTTTCAGCAAGCCATTTCTTCGTCGATTTGCAGTGTGCTTCGGATAATTATCTTGTTGGATGATCCAATCAAGAGGAAGTTCAAGATTTGCAACTGAAATCATTAAATTTGCTTTCAAAATATTTTGGTATGCTGCCGCATTCATTCTACCATATATTACTGATATGTTGACAGTATATTTTGCAGAAAAAACATCCCTAAACCATAATGCTGCCACCACCAAATTTCACTGTTGAAACTGTGTTCTTTTGTTTGAAAGCATCACCATATTTCTTCCATACATGATATCTAGAATTTACATTCAAACAAATCAGTGGTTTCGTCTGTCTATAATACTTTTTCCCAATACAATTTTTTCTTATCCTTGTTTCCAAACGAATTTCAACTTGGCGTCTCTGTGTTTTTCAATAGCAATGGAGTTTTACGAGGAAAGCGTGACTTTAGATTGTTCCTATGAATTTCATTGCTTATTGTCCGTTTAGTGACACAGATTCCTGATGAAAGTAAATCATCCTGCAACTCTAGACGAGTAAACTTTGGATTTTGTTTTGAAGTGCCTGTTGCTCTTTGGTTTTCAACAGTTTTGAATTTTTTATACCTTACAATGAATGAACTAATGGTAATAAATGGAAAATTCACGTTGTCTGAGATTTTCCTCTAACTTTAGCATTCTTTCCAGAATTTAGTAATCAGTTCTTTTTGCGAATTTGTCAATTCTTTACCTCTTGACATGATGATAACCTTCTTGCACGAATATTTATCGATTACATAATGTCCCGTTTGTATTTTTAGGCTAGAAATAAGTATTGACAACATTATTGGAACATTCTAGAATGTTCCACTTGAATAATTTATACTATTAAAGCAATTTAAATGTTTTAAAATCTGAAATTTGCATTGTAGGAATACTTTTTTCAGCCATTAAAATGGATAAATGGCATTTATTTCAATCAAATAATTTTCTCTATTTTCCATGCATATTAAGTTAATATGCATTTGTGTGTACGAATATTTGTTTTCCCCCACTGTATATATAAGCGGACATTGAGGAAATCATCGACCAGTAAAGTCTGTTTCATGTTTGGAAGCAATCTTCAGGCCATGTGTGTCGTGTTAGACGCTAGACAGTGGTGCATTATCGGTAGCGATGTCTATTGTATTATCCTAACGTCTATTGGGTGAGCGGTAATATTTCAAATTATTCCAGAGTTTAATAAGTAGAATTACTTGTGGATCTGTTCTGTGATGTCAACGAACACTCGTTGCCACTTTTGTAATGTCAACGAATAAACGTTGTCACTTTCGTAATGCTCGTTGTAGTAGAGACTTTGTAATCGCAAATACAACTATAGTAACGCCGTTGAACAATACTGCTGTTAGACGCCTTCGAATAACACTCGCACTAATAGTACTTGCTTGATAACACTCGCTCGTAAAGTAACCACCAAATAGTAATCCTAATAGTAATCCGTATAATGATCAATATAGAGAATAGTATAGTCAGTAGTATAGAGAATAGCGATCCGAATAGTAATAGAGGATAGTATAGAAATAATGATCAATTAGACGCCTCGCTAATTCCCATCTATACATTTACCTTACATCACGTGGTCTACTTATTCAAAATGGGGTCGACTGTGTTTGCTCTCTAGCGATCTATGTTCAAACTCCAGTATCGGCAGCAACAATTTATTCTTGGATAACAATCTGATTGCTGTTTGTAAAAAATTTTACTTATTACTTATTATTGATTGTTTAATTATTTGTTGATTATTATTATTATTATTATTATTATTATTATTATTATTAGATTTACTTGTGTTTATGTGAGCATTCATAGTTTGTAATTTTTATTGTTATTGTTTTATATTTACTTAACTTTTTTTAATTATTTATTTATATTTTTTATTTATTTTGATATTTGATTCGGGGCTTTGTGTCTTCAGGATTTAGTCTAAAGTATTGGCTTTGTCTAAAGCAGCGATTCTCAACCAGGGTTCTCCAGAACCCTGACATGCCGCAAAAGGTCCCCAAGGGTTCCGCGAGAACAGGTGAGATAATGCACTTTTGACTTTTTATATAATTTCATATACATAATATTACTAAACACGTACAATATATTCTTGGTTATTGTAATATTGTAATATTGACATCATCCTATCTAACCTTATTGTCATAAAAAAAATTAACAATCATTGGGAATATATTTAGTGATGAAGTATCATAAACGAACAATATAAAGTTTATTTTGCATTACCGAAAAATTTGACAAAGAAATATTAATATTTCCTTAAAGCAGTTATTATGATATTTACCACGCGAACAACGATGAAAATAAAATGAGAAAGATATGTTATATAATTTTGTTTCTGTGCAGCTGTTCCTTGAGACATGTAATTTATTTTAAGCGTTACGCAAGGGTAAAAAGGTTGAGAAAGGCTGGTCTAAATTATGTTACATTAGCTGAGTTTCTTATGATGCGTCTGTCTGCATTTTTCCTGATGGAGTTTTATAATAGTTTTCGTTTTTAGTTTTCGATTTTTAATTAACCTAATAAGAAATTGTTTTCGTGTTTGTGTTTTCAGATAAATTCTGATCGATTATTTAGTCATTTTTGTTGGTCTGGGAAAAGGAATATAGCTATTTTCTTTAGAGTTCAGATGTTGGGGATTTATTG